ATTTTTCAAAAACTGCAGGAAAAAAAAAAAAAAAAAAAAAAGGTATCCAATGTCTCCCTATTGTTATCAGTGACTATTTTAGAGAAAAGTGGTAACTGAAGTTCCATTGGTAGACTTTTGTCAGTCTTTTATGGAAGCTTCTGAAATATCCCTCTGTGTATAGCTGACCTTTTGGCCCCACAATTCAACCTACAACGTAGCAGGACAATGCGCCATTTTCCATTACAAGCTATTAGGCTTCCTGGTGACGGACCTTCTGGTTCGGGGAATCGGGAAGCTTATGGCTGACGTGGCTTTAGAATGAATGGACACCAATGTGCTTTGTTTAATTAACACAGATATGATTTCATATCTTCAGCTATGTAAACGAAGTCCAGATTACACCAGGAATTTTTCAGGCTTGGTTTTAGAGAAAACATGTTTCTCAGTTGGTCTCAGTCATACCTCCCAACTTTCCCTCATGTGGCACCAAATCCCTCTGTCCCGCTTTGCTCCTCAGTTGTCCTTGTTTTTTGGTCTAATGTACAGATATCTATGAAAATGTTCTATTCAACTACCAGAAATGTTATTCCGCATTAAAACCTTCATCTAATCTCTTAATTATCTTGTTCATTATTTGGAAAATCCAGTATAAAAGAAAATAATGGTGGAAAAACAAAAACAATTCTGGCTTTAACCATTTTTTTTTGGCACATAAATTCTTAATGGTTCATATAACTGGGGGTGTGCCCATTGGCTCAATACATTGTGCTGGAAGGTGTTCCTTTTTCTCATCTCAGATAATTGGGAGGAATGCTCAGGTATGAATTGTCATAGGTGGCACCAGCTTTGGTGTGGCAGCCATTTTGTTCACTGAACCTTATGCTCTGATCACCCCATCTGTCCTCCCCCTGGCTCAGTGCCAAAGCAGTCACAGTGCTGAATAGGAAGGCCTACAAAGGCTTGCTGAACCCCCTCTTCTACCAGTGTGTGGCCAGCTTAAAGTATATTTCCAGTTTCACAGCCAAATTTGAACACTTGTACTAACAATGGGTTATAAAGGATTACAACCCTGACTTTTCCATTGTATGTTAATGAAGTTAATGAGAGAAACACAATCCTCAAATTTCAGTCCTAAGTCTTTCTATAAGGACAGATCACTGTGAAGGTGCTCAGAAAAACCTGGAATCAGCCATGTTGTCTGCTACAAAAAAACATATAAAAAGGTAAGAAAGGTAAGCTTGATTGGCTGCAGTCACTGTTCCGCCTGGCCCCTTCAACAAACGTTGATTCAAAAATTGACTTCCGTCGAGCTGGGTGGTGCCAGCACAGCCATCCACAAATTGAATTTCAGCCAAATTTGAAGCAGTGTTCAGCCACAGCGCTATACTAAAAAAAAATGTTTTGGCTGGAGATTCACTTTAATTACAAGCTAAAAAATCTAAAGGAAATCTATTCTGTGCATTTCCCTAAAATAAAAAATCAAATAATAATATTTTCACTCGTTTTCCATATGAGCTGAATACAGTTAATTTCATCATTGGCCCGCTAGAGGCTCTGACAATAGATAATGGAATGGCAGGCTAATGCCCGCCCCTCCGGGTACACTTTAGAACATATTCTAAATACAATGAATGACATTCTTCTGGAAATAATCACATAATGTGTGTAGATAATTACAATGTGTGTAGATAAATGGTATCTGCGGAAATAACAGTAAAAGATCTCCTGCTCCCATCCTCACAAGGCCTCCTATAGACAGCGTGTATTTACAGCATAGCTTTATCATATGTGATAAGATTAAACCTCCATATATCCTGATAGTAGAAGAACACGCATTGTGTACATTGTCACAATCCCCCGCCTAAAAGATTTCAGCTGCTATCTCTTCCTTCGATGTGTGCGTTCTATGAAACCCAATGAAAGTGGATGGAAACCCTGACAATGAACTTCTCTTATCTGCTCCATTTCATTCTGTGAAATATACCATTGAAAGTGTTTCGTTATATCATTTTGTGCAAAAAAATAAATATCTGTTAATCCTGCCAGAAATCCACTGCTGTCCTGTGTCACTCTGCAATGTTATCAGGAAGTGTGTTGGGACTACGGAACTACAGAGAAGGAGGAGAGGGGTTGTTCTGTAGTCTTGTTGAGGGATGGCAACGCTACTCTATAGACACAGTATAGCGTTGACATCCTAGAAAATGAAGTGTATTGCTGGCAGGAAAGTGTAAAGGGAACAGCCTGAAAAATAAAACTAATGCAGCCACCACCTATAAGGACTGGTAAGCTGCAATATATTCCATTTTGTTCTTTGGTTTAGATAAGATTTATAGAGCAATTCCAGGCAGCAAGTGAAAACAATCAATGAGCTTCTAACTCAATCCAGCAAATGCTGCATCTAGAACTGTGCTTCCTTATGGCGGAACTCCAGGAGAAAAAAAAGCTTCTTGGCCACTTGCAATTAACTAATCTCTAACCAGTAATGTGTGTCCCATCTGTGGCTGGCTGCTGCATTAGTTTAAATGATCATTTCAAAGCACCCCTGACCCCTTTGTAAATGCCAAACCCCTTTGGGAGCACTAAACTTTCTTCTTCGAATGTTAAAGTCCCAGCTCTAGCACAGAGAAGATAGAAGGTCACTCACTAGGCACTTTGGTTATTCACAAAACAGCTTGTATTTTTTTGCACAGAATGCAAGTTGTTCTGTGAATGGACAATGGAGATCACATGGGGAGAGTAAACCACGGGATCGCTCTTGTCCATTGACAGAACACCTTGTACCTGGTGTAAAAAAAATGCCAGACGTTTTAGCAAGTGACCCGCTATCTTCTCCATACTAGAGCTGGGCCTGTAACATTCAAAGAAGGACGTTTGGCACTTACAGAAGAGTTGGGGGTGCAAAAAATGATAATTTTAACAAATGTAGCAGCCAGCCACAGATGGAAGACTCATCATAAACCACTAGCAGATAGGGGGTTTGGCCACCAGTAGGACCCATTCCTGGGCTGTGCTTTGTTTTTTTTTTGCTTAGTGTTCTAATCCTGCAAGTGGCAGTATAAACCCATCAGTCAGAGAACGAGATCTCCACCATGTCCTTCATTGAACGGAAGAGAAACGTATTTTCCTTGAGTTCCGCTTTAAGCTTGTGCTATGTCTCCAATTATATTTGAACTTCCAAACCAGGTTTGACTGATTGGTGGCTGTAAGTTCTAGTACTCATAAAGATTTTTTTTAACATGCTTTCTGTACAGGAGCACCGGACATCTTTGGGAACAGCTCCTCTGTTTGACATGCAAGGGTTCCCAGATAACTAGATGACAGACAAAGGGACTGTGATGGATTGGAGCACTATATAAATGCCTGGAGGTAGTATTGAGCGGGTAGGTATTTCAAAGTTTGCATTTCAAGGTTTAATTGGAGTAAAATGTTCTGTGATCTATGCAAGATCATTCTACAGAGCAGAAAGGGAAACGCAATGGCAATGACCCATAGGAGCTGCACATGATCACTTACCTATTATCCCCACTACTATGTAGCCCAGAATGAAGACCATGAACAGGACACAGCATATGATGTCCGTGCAGCTCCTGGATGGAGGAAAAGGAGACAAGATGTCAGCAAACCAGAACATACACAGAACATACAATGATGAAAAATACACACAGGCCCTTTGGGCTCAGGATGCTCCCATCAAGCTTCCTCAACCTTTTTGGTCTGATTTTTTTTTTAAAAGACGGTCAGATTTTATTGTCTATATCCTAGAGCAACATTTCTCAACCTTTTTCGTGGCATCCTTTAATGTATCCAAAATCTCAAGGCCTCCCAGTCTAAAATGTAAAAAGCGATGTGTGGCCCCTCCAAAATCCATACAAGACTCCTATTCCAGATACAGGTCTGGTATGGATTTTAAAGGGACCCCCACAGAAAAAACTTCTCATCAGAGTCCCCCCTTCACATCAGGAGGCCTCATCACATCAGGAGGCCTCATCACATCAGGAGGCCTCATCACATCAGGAGCCCTCATCACATCAGGAGCCCTCATCACATCAGGAACCCTCATCACATCAGGAACCCTCATCACATCGGGAGCCCTCATCACATCAGGAGCCTGCCTGCACCTTGGAAAAGCATGACGCTGTGCCCCAAACACAGTTTACAAATGGGAGTCAGCGGGACAGGCTACTGATCACCCGACCACTGTGACAGATAATCACATAATCAGGACATGCAGGGAACACCTTCAGCGTTCCTGCAAAAGAAGATTAAAAATATTTCTCCGGCAGGCAATAACTCCAAAGTTCACATACTACAGTGCCTGAAGAATCTTAGACCCGGTTAGGTGTGAACGGGACCTTAGACATCCAGAAGCGTGTCAGATGCCTGGGCCCCCTGTGGGCACTGAGCATCCATGCGCTGAACTCTACATCACTACCGTGTCCTGGGGTTAAAATTCCTCAGGGGCTGTGTCTTTTTAAGAGTCATTGTCTGCCAAAAACATAAGTATTCCTGATCTTCTTTTACAGGAAGAATTACAAATAATTAGCAATAGAGTCACTTTGAATAAGCCGACATTCATTATCCTAAAGATTGTCTATGGTGCGGATCAATGTGTTTCTGAAGCCTTCTTATCATTCTGCTGGTTTTGTTTTAATGAGATGATTCATTATAAATTATTAGATGTGTCTGTATGGCTGGGAGAACTCTTTGTTAGTGATCGGAGTTAAAAAGCTTCTCTGTCTTAATAAGATAACAACTTTGCAAATGTTATTATTGGGCCCTGTACTTCTGAAGCTGTAAAACCAGCGGAGGGCGTTGCAGGCAGTGATGGGTTGTAACTGAGGGTGATCTTCATGATGAAAGGGAGCACTAGATCTTTCACTATGGGGAAGGGTTAGAACTAGGGATGACCTCAGGTTCAGACCAAACCTAGTCCAAATCTGAGCTCCTCCGAAGCTCCTTTCACTGCCACTCAATCAGCTGTGGCCAGGGAATTCCCCAGCTGCATGTAAGCAAAGAGACGGGATGCTGTGACCTCATTGACCATATATGGCCACATGGCTATATTTGGTCAATGACATTGATCTAATATGGCCATACATGGTCACGTATGTCACCAAAGCACCCCACCCCTTGATGTGCAGCTGTAGAGCAGGGGATGCCCTAACTCGCAGCTGATTGTGAGTGGACTCATCTCCCTTCTGGGTTTGGAGGAGCTTGGGTTCATCGCTACTTACAGCCCTTGGTCTTTTTTGCTGTATTTGCTGACAAGTGTCACCTTTCATCTTGTCCTGGAGACAGAGTGTGAAGGAGAATCCAAATGTTTTGGTTTTCATCAGAACAAAAAGTGTGTGGGGGGGGGGGGGGCATCTGTTCCAGTGACAAATGTCTAGGAAGGGATTTCCCCCCTGGAATTGGAGAGATTTCATCTCACTTCCTGCTGTGTGTTCATAACAGGAGGTAAAGGAAATTGTCTGCAATAGGAAATGGACAGCAAAAAAAAAAAAAAACAGTTTTTGGCACATTTTAATGAGAAGCTGACAGTGTGCAGTGTAAGTCACTTCAGTACAGGAAAGGAGCGGGTACAACTAGACAAGACTGAAGACAAGGACGGGGTTCAGATTTAAGGTGAGCTCACGTGCCAGAGACTTCACAGATAATCTATTGATAATAATATGTCCGAACCCTGATACACCAAGCTCCATTTCTGCAAATAAACCAAGGCTGGCTGAAAACGCCATCAATAGCCACAGATTGTTCACTCACCGTTTTTGAATCGGACCTTTGAATTTCGGGTCATATTTAGCCGGTTCACCTACAAGAACAAGAAACACACATGAACACACTTGAAGCACAAATAATCTATTTATTCCTGGAGAAAGGACTTTCTTGTCCAACCAATCAGGAAATTACAAGTAGAAAATTGATGTGATGTTCGCCTAGTAAAATTTTCTTCCGGCAGAGGTCTGAATCTCATGTTTGTGATCCTATTATACATGTAGTCATTGTATGTCTAATCGCCAGAGTGCCCCCTTTCATTAGGCCTCCCCATCAGACTTCCCCCTTTCATTAGGCCTCCCCATCAGAGTGTCCCCTTTCATTAGGCCTCCCCATCAGAGTGTCCCCTTTCATTAGGCCTCCCCATCAGA